CGTCAAGTAAACACTAAAGTCTCTACACCTCGACGACCTGGCTACATACTGGCTCGTCAGCGAATCTCGGGGCCACAGTTGCCAGAACGCCCGCTCGTGACGCTCTCCTGTGGAGTACACGCCGCCGCCGCCGCCGCCGCTTAAGGAGTGCGATAACTTATTTTTTAGTGAATATAGGGATAAGAGCTTTCGATCTACGAATCCGGGACAGCTGACTCTTCCAGTCCCATGGACTAATGGCAGTGGAGGACTTCTTTCTTCTCGATTATCACCATACAAGATTACGACAAAAACAACATGATTTCGTCGGAAACATATACGGCCAGGACATACCTCAAGTGCCTTAGGTGTGCTGTGTGTCTCTCTCTAGTTTGGCACTCCTTGGCACACCGCGGGGGAAAACCAGTTACTTTTGGCACGCTAGCAGACCTATATTCACCATCGTTTTTCTTTCATTGATTCGACGCAGGTATTTTGACGCCGGGCAGGCTTTACCCGATAGCGAATCAAGGAAGTTAACAAAAGGCTTCGTAAAATAAGAAGGGTTTTGTTGCAGCTCTGTGATGCGCCAGCTGGAGAACCATTAAAATGAAACCGCTTGGAATGTGACTATGCGAAAGGCGCCTTCATGCTACGCTGCTTTGATAACCTGGTCGGGTTTCCGTGTCGCGGGGAAAATGCGTTTTGCGGCGGGGGATGGATAAGCGTAAATAGAATGCCTGTTTCGTGCTCCCGTTCTCATGCCGAAAAAGGAGGAAAACAAGAAATTCCCTGGTAATATTGTCACAAGCGCCGGGAGTGCATTGACAGCAAAGATGACATCGGCTACAAAGGGAGTCGCGTGAAACTGTGTCGGATGTTTTTCCTTCTTTCCCTTTTTTTATCACTCACCTGTTACTCTTTTGTCTACCACAAACCACCGTTTTATTTCTTTTCCTCTTCTTCTTCATCTCATTTATCACAGAAGTTATACCTCCACGAAGATAATCCCTCACGAAACACGAACAGATGATGGATGGAGAGAAGGTAACGGACGATAAAAGACTAAATAAATAATAACTAAAGAAACGAGATGTGAACGGATGTCCTCTTTACAGCGTTGTGCTCAAACATGAACTGTGTCATCCGGTTTATGTGTTTTATAAGTCCAAACGCGAAAAGGTACACACGCGAGATCCCAGATATTCATGATGCATAAATAATCCTGTAATTAATTAACGTTTTTTAAAAGATTTAAACGTGAGACACAAATTCTGGAATCATTGATGAGGCAAACTGGTGGCGAAAAACAGCAATGGTTGCATGTGCAATTTTCTTTGTTTCTGTTCCCAGTGTTGATCAGCTATGTTTGCGGCTATTAGCCTTCCATTTTCGCTCTCTCTCTCTCTCTCTCTCTCTCTCTCTCTCTCTCTCTCCTCTCTCTCTCTCTCTCTCTCTCTCTCTCTCTCTCTCTCTCTCTCTCTCTCTCTCTCTCTCCTCCAACTAATGAAATGTATTTTTACTCACTCTCACACACACTCACACACACACACACACAGACACACACACACACACACACACACACACACACACACACACACACACACACACACACACACACACACACACACACACACACACGCACATACACATGATCACCTATGTGCGTGCGAGCGGGCGCACATGTATAGGTCCACGACGACTTAGGTACAACACCAACCTGAGTCAAATAAACAATTCTTCTTTCGTTGGCTGTAAACAGTATTAACACCGTAACTCGGGTACAGAAACCTGGTCCCGTTTAGACTCCATCGATGTATTCTTTTCCTTTTAATGTAGTAGACAAAATAAAATATCTAATGATTAAATCCAACACTTTATATTTTGTCGGTAGTAACGGTCTGCAGTTATGTATTACTCTCTAATTTTCTCCCTCTCTCCATCCCTCCCTTTCTTCCTTCCTTCCTCCTTCCTTCCTTTCCTTCCTTCCTTGCTCTCTCCTTCCTTCCCTCCTTCCTCCCTCCTTCCCTTCCTTCTTCCCTCCCTCACTCCCTTCCCTCCTTCCTTTCTCTCTTACTTCCTTCTATCTTTCCTATTTTCCTTCCCTTTCTCTCTCTTTTCCAATTCCTTCTCTGTCCCTCCCTCCCTCCCCCCCCTTACGTATTTGAAATCCACAATCTAACCTAATTACGCAATCCCGTGTTAAACAGTTTCAAGAAACATCAATCATAATTTCGATAGTCAGCATCCTATCAGGTTGGATCATTAATTCGTATCTATCAATTAATTTCTTACTCCGTCTCATTACATATCAAATTTTAAGGGACGAATTCATGATCTAAACTGCCAGCATCAGCACTAACTTAACTGCATATAGCGCGCTACACATGATAATATTTCGTATCTATTCATTTTTCCCAAACGATGACATCTCAAGAACTCTATATTGGGCGTTACTTATGCAGCCTCACCATCGGAGATTATGGCCAAGTGTCTTAGCAACCAAGTCAGCTCCTTGGAT